GGGACTAGAACTCACAATTTCCTGGTGATTGGCCCAAAGTCACCCAGCTGGCTTTCATGGCTAAGGTGGGACTAGAACTCACGGTCTCTTTCTTTCTAGCCCAGTGCCTTAACCACTAGACCAAAGTGGCTCTCCCACTGAGGTCTGGTGGATTTAGTAACAGACGGGCTGTGAAAACAAAGCCGGAGATTCCTACCAGCCGTTCTGTGCTCCAAGCCACATGGTGGGGGCGGCACTGGTGGTAGCACCCACTGCATTGCCATTTGCCTCTTGATCTGGCACGGCTGTGCTCGACTCCATTTTGGGATGTCCATTCTCACTGTTGGCAGAAAAAAACATCCCTTTTTAAAGTGTCCGATGGTACAGGGGGAAAAATGCTTTATAGAAGTAATCCTCCACTTACAAGCACAATTGTTCTGTTGCTAAACAGGGTGGCAACTTTCAAAAGACCTTCGAAATATTTCTATCGGCTACACCCATGCAGTGTCAGACATGTTAACTCCCAATAAATCCTTTTGAAGTTTTGGACGTTTGGCTCGAGAGTCATGATTTAATTGGGGGGGAACTGCCAGAATCCTGACAGAGGGTACTTGTTTAGTGACTCTTGCCCAATTTTATGACCTTTTTGCTTATGGTTGTTAAATGAATCGTGTTAAGCCAGTCTGGTTTCTCCCATTGGTTTTGCTTGTAGGAAACTGGCTGCGAAGGTAACTGATGGCAATCAAGTGAGCCTGGGATGCTTCAACAGTCCTAAATACACGCTAGTTACCAAGTTGCCCGGATTTTAATTATAAAATTGGCGATGCTGCAACAATAAGTGGGATGATCGCTCATAGATCACTTTTTCAATGCCTAAATGAACAGTTGAAAGTTGAGGGCTACTTATAACTGGCCAAGCTTTGATCTTCCTTCAACATGGTACACTCTGCTCTGTAACTGACTGTCCCTTTTCCCACTGATGCTAATTCATTGCTGAGTTCCTGGGATCTTCCGGGACAAGTCCAAGCAAGGTCTCTTTTACCTGTTCTGCCTTGCAGGTGCTGGAGCTGGAGTTGGGTCAGTAAACACATGTTCTGTAAGGGGGCCAGTCCGGACCTGAGCTGGCTCCATTTCGCTCACGCCATTCTCTGGCACCTCCGTGGCTTCGGTGGCTTCTTCCGTGGACTGGGACTGATCAATCCTAGCATTGCTCGTGGCAGCCACTTCATCTAAAGGCAGAAGGGTGACATTAAAGATCAGAGGTCTCCAAACCTGGCAACTTTAAGGCTTGTGGACTTTGTTAAGAGAATTTTACAATACAAGGATAATAGAATTATACAGAATAGAATATAAAGATGTACTACTATTGGATGGATTTAGGATGATGTAATGAATGTTATAAATGAATTTAAAATTTTGAATATCTCGTATAAAATGATGGAATAATAGTTATAGTCAAATAAATGATTAACAATGATAATAAGGTATACATATATACTAGATTGATAATATGAGAATTTATAAAAACTCTAAGTGAGGACTATGGAGAGGATGCACAAAAGGTTTGTAACCAACCGACACTGTATGTATGTAACTGGAAGGTGGTTTTATGTTTTATGTTCTTTAAAAAAAAAAGACTTGGGACTTCAACTCCCTTCCTCAATTTGCTACCCTTCATGTTAGAAGTACAACTTTCTGAATTCCCTTTTGGCCAGATAGATTTAGAGCAGGGGTCTTCAAACCTGACAGCGTTAAGACTTGTGGACTTCAACTCCCAGAATTCCTCCTCCAGTCATGTTAGCTCAGGAATTCTGGGAGTTGAAGTCCACAAAAAGAGTGGTTACCAGTGGGTCCAGGTACCCACAGAGAAAACAGGCCCCACCCCAAAAAACACGTCATAAATTTTAAAAAGCAAAATCATTCAAATGATTGCCAGGAGTCCTGTAGAGGATATAATTTTTTTAAAAAAAGATGGTTGGTCACATCGCCAGCCACATGTTTAGACTGGGTTTGCCATTTCTATCCGACTATCAAATCAGATAGGCAGATCTGCTCCCATCACTGTGAAGTGACAGCTGCCAGTTCTTTAGCTGATGTTGGCCTTTATATGTACACATCAAATTCTTCCCAAGAGGGGGAGATGGGAGGAGCTTGCGCCGTGGCGATACGGTCTGCAATCGAGCTCCTCGATTGCAGCCGATATCTCCGCCACTGGCCGGTCCAACGGACCTACGCTGTCCCGTAGGGACAGCCATCGTGAAGAGCATATCCTGAGGATTCCGGGGATACCGCAAAATCCCTGGAGAGCCCGGGTGAAGCTCTTCTTGCCAGCGGCGGAGAGGCAGCCCCCATGCTGCTGAGGCCGGGGCGACTCCAGACGGAAAGAGTTTGAGAAAGAGTTTGTCGGTTGGGTGAGAACTTCTTTTTTTTATTTAATTTTTTGAATTTGGAAAGTTTACTCTAATTATCTGAAGAAACCTGTGTGATTTTTGTTTTGTTTTTTGACAAAATTGATTTAGCGGCGTTTTTTTAGGGAAACGTCAAAGAGAGAATCCATTTTTTTTCTTTTCTTTGCTTTCGGACTCTATTGTTACTTATTGGATAACTGGACTGTTTTCTTTTTTCTATATATTCATATGTTTTATTCTTTTTCTGGACTTTTTATTTTTATTTTTTCTGGGCTAGAGGCTTCTCTTGATTTTGTTTGATTTTTCGGTGTTTGTTTTGTGTATTGCAAGCCGGCTTTCCCTTAAGAGAGGAGGGGGGAAAGTGAGAACTATGATACTTTGTAACACTGCCACCTAGAGGCTCGGAAATATTTAAAAAAAAGAAAAATAGACTCTTCTTCTCAAGGACATCCCCTGATAAGATAGAGGAAAGCACTTTGTGGAATATTATTACAGGTGTCTTTCTGGATATACATGGCTCAGCTTTGAAGCTTGTGGGAAAGAGAAGGGAGTTATAATTAGAGCCTTGGATAATTAAATAGAGTGCAGTGTTGTTGTTTTTTTTTTTTGAGTTCTGCCAACCCCTTCACTAACATCAAGGTCCTGACTTTTAAGCTTGATTTATTTGCAAAGGGAAGCCTCTGAATTTCTTTTTTCTACTTATATTTTATTTTGATTTAACTGATTTTATTTTTTCTTTTGTCTATTTGGATCCTGTTTTCTCTTTTTTCCTTTTTTTTTTTTTAATGTACATTAGCGGATTATTTCTTTTTCCTTTTTTCAATTGAGGTTTTTTCTTTTTTTTTTTTTTTTTCTGGCTGGACTAAGGTGTGGAATCTGAAGAAACTTATTTTTCTTGGTTTTTGTTTTGTTTTTTGTTTTTTCTCTTTTTCTTTTTCCCTTCTTCCTTTTTGGCTTTGTCTTGTTTATTATTATTATTGGGTTTTTATTTTTACTGTTACTTTTTTTCTTTTTTTTTTATGGTTTTTTTTTTTCTCATTCTTTTTTTATTGAACTAAGGTCAGGAAGAATTTGAAGAATTTTCTTTTTCTTTTTTTCTTTTTCTCTCTCACTTTTGGCTTTTTTATTGTTGGCCTTCTTACCTTGGATTAAAATTTCATATTTCTTTCTCTTTTTTTTGTGGACTAAAATTTGAAAAAACTTGAAGAGTTGGAACCACTTAAAATGAGTAAGAAATTTATATCTTCGGGTGCCTCTATGTCTGCTTCTGCCTCCCCACCATCTGGACAGCGTTCAATTCAGACATTGTTAAAGCAAGATAAGGAGAAAGAAAAAGAACAAGAAAGAGTATCCTTCCAGATGATTATGCAAGGAATTCAAGATCTTAAGGTAAAAATGGATACTATTGAACAAAGAACAGGTAGGATGGAACAGATGATGGAAAAATATGAAGAGAGACTCCAAAATGTTGAAGAGGGAGGCAAACAAAGAGAGGAGAAAATTGGAAATATCGACAATAGATTAATAGCGATTGAACAAGAAAAAAGTGAGATGTTGAAGTGGGAGTTGGATAGATCAGAATTTTATCTTAGATTCCAAAATATAGAAGAAGAAAAAGGACAAGATTTGGTTGCGATAATGGTAGGAATCTTGGCGGAGGCACTCGAGATAACAGAAGAGAAGATGATGGATGGAATTGATGAGATATATCGAGTTTTTACAAGATATGCGATGAGAAATAACCTACCCAGAGAAGTTCATATTAGATTTATTAAAAAATCTTTGAAGACACAAATATTGCAAGTAGCAAGAGAGAAGCCACTGAAATACAAAAGTAAAGAAATTTTGGTTTTAAAACAAATACCTAGAAGAGTGAGAGAGATGAGAAGAGAATACCGATTCCTGACTAAAAGGTTATTGGAAAAAGAGGTGTCTTACAGGTGGTTGATTCCAGAAGGATTGGTGTTTACGTGGCAGGAACAGAGACATAGAATTGATTCAATTGAGAAAGCAGAACTGTTTTGCGCAGAGGTTTTTGGAGGCAGAGAAGGAGGAGCAGGAAAGGAGGTCCCATCAATTGAATCTCAAGAGGAACAAATGGAGGTTGGAAAAGAAGAAGGTGCAGTAGGTGGACAAGTGGATATTAAAGATCAACGTGAGGCAAGACCCACGAGAGTGGTTAAATCTAAATATAAAACATAATTATGGAAGAAAAAAAATTGATTACAATGAATATAAATGGACTGAACTTAGCTGCTAAGAGAAGGAAGATTTTCCATAAATTAATGAAATTAAGGTTCGACATAATTTGTTTACAAGAAGTTCATATTAAAAAGCAACATGAACAATTGTTATTACAACCAAAATTAGGGAAATTGTATACCTCTTTGACACAATCCAAGAAAAGAGGGGTGGTTTTATATATTAAAGAGGCCATTCCAGCAAAAATGATTTATACAGATGATGATGGGAGAATATTAATGGTAGAAATAATGGACAATAATAGAAAGATACTTTTGATTGCAATTTATGCACCGAATGATAAACAGGAAGAATTCTATAGAAAATTACATACTAAGACTGCCGAACTTGACTATGTTAATGTAATTATGATGGGAGACTTTAATGGAATTGTGGATAATAGACTTGACTATATTGCAACAACAGTAAAGCATAACAGGAAAACTCTTCCTAAATCCTTTTTTAAAATGATAGATGAATTAACTTTAAAAGACATATGGAGAGAAAGAAATGATAAATTTAAGCAATTTACGTTCTATTCAAATAGGCATTTATCATGGTCCAGACTGGATATGATTTGGATCTCAACAGATTTAATGTCTAGTATTCAAGAAGTAAATATTGAAACAAGTACTTGGGCTGACCATAACCCATTGACAATTGAATGGAAGGGACAAAGGAAAAGATCGAGATGGACATTAAATAATTCTATTTTAAAGGATAAGGAATTTATACAATGGATGGAGAAAGAATTGGCCTTCTTCTTTAAAGAGAACAGAAAAGAAGACACCTCAATACAGAATGTTTGGGACACAATGAAGGCCTATGTTAGAGGCTTGATAATAGACTATACAAGAAAAAAGAACAACAGGAAAAGGCGAACTCTTAAAGCCTTGGATGATGAATATAAGGGACTTGAAAAAGAATTACAGAAAATGCCACACAGAAAAGATGTTAAAATGAAACTGGATATAACTAAACATAAAATGGATTTAATAGAGAAAGAAGAACTGGCACAGAAAATTAGGAATGCTAAACAGAATTATTTTGAGGATGCAAATAAACCAGGTAGATGGCTAGCATACAAATTGAGAAAGGAGAAAGAGTCGAGGAAAATACCGCAGTTAATAGACGACCAAGGTAAAATTTGTTATGGCAGCAAAGAAAAAAAAGAGATTATTTATGATTTTTATAAGCATTTGTATAAGAAAGAAGACATTGACGAGGAGAAAGTTAAACAATACCTACAGAATGCAAATCTACCTAAGATACCTAAAGAGATTGAAGAAATGCTAGAAAGTAATATAACAATGATGGAGTTAAGTCAAGCACTTAAGAAACAAAATAATGGAAAGGTCCAGACGGGTTTCCTGTAGAATTTTATAAAATCTTTCAAGAATCACTGTGTATTCCACTGTTAGAAGTTATGAATGAAGTTATGTTAAAAAAGATGATACCTAAAACATGGTCAGAGGCTTACATTACACTTATTCCAAAAGAGGAGGCGGACCTACTGCAAATCAAGAATTATAGACCGATTTCTTTACTAAATGCAGATTATAAAATTTTTGCTTCAATATTAGCAGAAAGACTTAAAAAGTACTTGAATAACTTTATCCACTCAGACCAAAATGGGTTTTTGCCAAAGCGACAAATCAGAGACAATATGAGAGTAATTCTGGACACCCTGGAATACTATGAGGCACATCCTGAAAAGCAAATGGCTTTGATATTTTTAGATGCTCAAAAGGCATTTGATAACGTGAATTGGAGATTTATGTTACTTTTAATGGAACAGATGGGCTTTGCTAGAAGATTTATTCAGGCAATAGAAGCAATTTATAATGAACAAACAGCTAAGGTAATGATGGAGGGAGAATTTACAGATCCTATTAATATAAGAAAAGGCACAAGACAAGGTTGTCCTCTTTCTCCCTTGATATTTGTATTGACTTTGGAAGTGTTGAATAGAAATATCAGAGAAGATAAAACTATAAAAGGAATGAAAATTAAAAAGAATTTAAACTACAAGCCTTTGCAGATGACCTAGTCTTTATCTTGGAAGACCCTATAGAAATAGCCTCGAAACTGTTGGAAAAGATAGAGGTCTATGGGGAGGTGGCTGGTTTGAAAATAAATAGAGATAAAACAAAGATTTTGTCAAAGAATATGTTGCTGAAACAAAGGGAAGAGTTGGCAGAACTGTTAAAAATTCAAGTCACAAACAAGGTTAAGTATCTGGGGATATATTTGACATCAAGATGTAGTACATTGAAGGAGAATAATTATATTAAACTTAAACAACAGATAGCTCAAGACTTGAAAAAATGGGAGAACTTACAATTGTCATTAATAGGAAGGATTTCAACAATTAAGATGAACATTTTACCCAGAGTCTTATTTTTGTTTCAAACAATACCAATTAGGCTTGGAAAAGAATATTTTGAGGATTTAAATAAAATTGTTTTGAAGTATATATGGCAAGGTAAGAAAGCAAGAATAAAGTTAAAGCTTTTACAGGATGCTAGATTTAGAGGAGGGTTTGGACTGCCTAATTGGGAGTTGTACTACCAAGCTGCAAACTTGACGTGGGTTAAAGAATGGATAACATTAAGGAAAACCAGATTGTTGACATTAGAAGGTCATGATTTGTTGTTGGGCTGGCATGCTTTTTTATGGTACAAGGGAACTAAAACACAGGGGTATTTTAGAAGGCATTATATACGGGAGTCTCTGTGGTTGAATTGGGAGAAGATAAAAAAACAGTGTTATTTGAAAATTCCAGTTTGGTTATCGACGATAGAAGCGTTTTCTTATCCTATAATCTATAAAAAGGAACAAACAGTTAACTATGGGGAATTATTAGATGAAAAGGGTGAACTTAAATCGATGCAAAAATTGGAAGAACAAGGTATACGGATGAATTGGTTTTCATATTTGCAAATATATTCAAAGTACCATGAGGATTCCAAAGCAGAGGGATTTTATGATAAGCAAACTGACTTGGATAAGATTTTGATGGGTACTGATGAAAAGGTGATTAAAAAATTGTATGGTTATTTATTGCAAATTAAGCTTGAGGAAGAACAAGTTAAAGAAACTATGATTGCGTGGGGGAGGAATTTTGGATATGGGATTGATTTAGAGAAATGGCAGAAATTATGGTCGCAAAATTATAAAATGACAATGTCTACAGCCTATAAAGAAAACTTGTATAAGATGTTTTACAGGTGGCATTTTCCCCCGACAAGGATAGCAAGAATGTTTAAGAACAAATCCGAAAAATGCTGGAAATGTCATCAGAAACCTGGTTCATACTATCACATGTGGTGGACTTGTGAGGATGCTAGAAAATATTGGACTAAAATCCACATGTGGCTGGAAAAAATGACAAAGAAGCATATAGACTTGAAACCGGAGTTTTTTCTATTGGGAATACTACCAGATACTTATAGTAAAGAGTTGAAATATTTGATTGTAAATGTATTGACTGCTGCTAGGATTGTATTTGCAAAAAATTGGAAAAATGAGAAAATTCCATTGCAAGAAGAAGTTGTAAAGAAAATTTTGGAATGTGCTGAGATGAGTAGATTGACTTTTGAAATTAGAGAGCAAGAAGATAAACAATTTTATTTAGTTTGGGATCTTTTCTATCAATGGTTGAATGATGAAATATTAAAATATAAAAGTTAGATAATAAGGAATAATAATGACTTTATTTTCCCTTTCCTTTTATTGGTTTTTGATACTATATTTATATAATAGCTTTCTTTGTTTCTTTCTTTTTCATATTTGGGATAGAATTGGTATGAGTATAAGATTTGTTTTAGAATAAAATATTTAAAATATAGTTATCTCATAAAGGCATGACCGAATAAAAGTTTAGTCAAATTTTTTCTTTTTTTTCTTTAATAGAGATACTAGGATTTATAAATTTGTATTGATAAGAGTATTATATAAAGTAACTGTAATTGTGACTATGAGGTGAATGCACAAAACCGATGGACCAACCGACTTACGGTGTGTACAAAAATATGGGGGAGCTGATACTTTTATGCTTTGTTGTTGTGTTTTTTATGTTAAAAAAATAATAAAAATTTATATATAAAAAAAAAAAAAAATTCTTCCCAAGAGGATGTTGCAATGTATTAAATGTAGCATGCATGCAGATCCAAGCAGCGCGGTCTTTTGCAATTGACTGGTGGAGATTTTGTATTATTCTTAAAATAATCTGGTAATTTGATGGAAAATGGAAGACAGTTTTAACTGCCATTTAGTAGGGTTTCAGCAAAGAAAAGCAGAGTCATAACTGAATTCCGCTTGCCAATTAGAAAGATAAAAATCATTTTTATCAGAATGTTGATAACCAAAAAGCTCAATCTACCGCAACGCAATATTTATCCTAAATATTTCAATGCCTTTTTTTTCCTTCACTAAGAAGATCCTGATTAGATCCGGGCTCAGGGGTGGTTAGCTTCAATCAGGGTTATTGGTTCAAGTAACGTGTATAGTTTTCTCTGTTTTCTTTTTCATCTTGATAGGCAGAAAAACATTCATAATTTTATCCATATGATAGATCTTGGACAGCAAGATTTTACTATATACTGAACTGTTTGGGTGATCTATTTTTAATCCTGTACAGTTAAATTCAAGGTCATTCTAGTAAAAGAACCGTAAACAGGCTTAATTAAGTAAAAGCAAGCTGAGGATAGAAAAAAAAAAAGACCCTGTCCTTAAAAACATTTGGAAACATACTTTGTCCTTTATCCAACACGGGGGTGTCGCCACGGGAGGAGCAATTGCTGTTGGGAACATTGCAACGAGTTGCACAGCCAACTAAAGTGATGCCTGCTAAGACTCCATCTGTTCCCGAAGATTCCTCAGGATTCAAGTCCCTTTCTAGAAAGATTTCTCCAGGAGGATAGTCAGTATCACAGGCCGCTGCAAAGATAGCAAGAGCACGAGCACTTAGACTTATATACCGCTTCACGGTGTTTGACAGCCCTCTCTAAGCAGTTGACAGAGTCAACCTATTGCTCCCCCAACAATCTGGGTCCTAATTTTACCCATCTCGGAAGGACGGAAGGCTGAGTCAACTTTGAGCCGGTCAGAATTGAACTCCTGGCAGTGGGCAGAGTTAGCCTGCAATACTGCATTCTAACCACTGTGCCACCAGGGCTCCTAACGCAACATCCAATCAGCTGCAGAAATAGCAGTAGCAGTTAGGCTTATATACCGCTTCACAGTCCTTTACAGCCATCGCTGAGGAGTTTACAAAATCAGACTTATTGCCCCTCAACAATCTGGGGCCTCATTTTACCGATCTTGGAAGTCAACCTTGAGCCAGTGAGAATTGAACTCCTGGCAGAATTAGCCTGCAATACTGCATTCTAACAACCACTGCGCCACCATGGCTCTTATGATGGGAAATACAAGGCTTCAGGGTCAGTAGGGAACATCCATGTGAAACAACATCACTGATATCTTAGACTAGATCGTGTTAAAAGCAACCAACTTGGTGTCTTATGTAATCTTGGCCACTGGAAGATAAGTAGACTTCAACTCCCAGAATTCCCCAGCCAGCAGGTAAGGTGTGCCACATCCATGTAAAGTAATCTCGATGGTATTTTAAGGTTTGGCAAATACTGTGAACTCAGCCTTGTATATCACCATTTTTCCAAGCAAAATATCCATTCAATTTCCAAAAGATTAGGATTTATATTTGGAAACAAGTGAGAATGAAAGTTATTTCACATTCAGGATTTAGAAAATCATCTCATCCGACTATGGCCAGCCAAACCAAATTTCAGGCTTGGATAAGAGGTTAGCTACCAAAGCTAGTTTCTTTTTAATTATGACTTAACAATACAGTTTCCCTTGAGAAGTTTCAAAGCATCGTAAGAACTAAGAGGTTTCTTTTCCCCAAAGAAACAGGACACCAAGTCCCAGCCTCCATATTAAATTTCAAGCTTGCCCATACAGGTTTGTATTGTCCTTTATGGAAGTAGGGGACAGGTTTTTTTATGAATGTTGTAAAGTATCTTTGATTCTAGACTGCTATATTATTCTAAATCTACTTCTAATGAATTACCAGCTTTGAAAGAAACAATTCAGCATTTACAGACGACCGTAGCATTATCCGTGATAGGGAATCACAAGCCTTTGTAAGCCCCCCAGAGTGGCCCTGTAGCAAGACGAGTGGCAAATATATATATTTTTTTTTAAAGTCCAAGATCTGATGTCTTCACTTGCCTGGAATGCTGGAGATGCAAAGGACGTGGGCGTTGCACACTGTGAAATGATCCACCACCGTTCCTGGCTGGTTGGCATCAATGATGACCACTTTGCTAGTAGATAAGGTGCTGGTGAGGATCCAGACTCTACTGGATGTGGCATCCATCTCATGAAGTTCTTTGGTCTGTGGGAAAGCCAAAGGGTAACGGGCGCATGGCCAGGGGAAGGGCGAAACGTGGGAAGTTGCACGTGGCATCAGAACAACCCTTCCAGGTTTAAATACTTGCTGGACCATCATATCGTGACATGATTTTGGACGGACTTCTATCCGAGGCCAACGTACAGCCCCCATACTTCGTTGTGTAAGTTAGAACTAGGGAACTTTTGAAAACGGAGATAAAAATGAAACCAGAACTTTTTCTCTTGGATTTAATTGGAATATTTTTTTTTTGGAATTTTGTTATTACATACGTTGACCATTGCAAGGCTACTGTATGCACAAAAATGGAAAGGCACTTCAATTCTTGCTATGGATGAATGGTTGCAGAAGTTGATGGAGTTGGCTGAAATGGCAAAATTGAGTACTTTGATTCAAGAAAAGAACATAAGTACTTCTGTTTCCACCTGGAGACCACTTATGAAAATTTTGTGCTTGATGTGGAAGTGAATGAAAATTTGACTTTGGGTTTTACCAATTAGATTGATAGACCTTTATAGAAATGGCTTGTTCATATTATGATGAAAAAAACAGAATGCCTGCACAGATGAACAGAGTCAGTTATATGCCCAACCTTTTTCTTTTCTGGAGATGGGTGATTACTCTTCGTATTCTCTCCTTCCGCCTCTCGATCACAGGTAAGTGGATCACATCCCGGATCAGGTTTTTGACCATTTGTAACATCTGGTTCCACTCCGGGCTTCCAGCCGGTCAAATTTACACCAGCTGCACACCACAACTGTAAAGGGAAAGGAGAAAACATGAGAGATCGAATGCAGGCTTTCTTTCTGCATTGGTGGGCCAATATGTCCATAGGTTGTGGCTCACAACAATGATAGGAATAGTGTCACAATGAAATGCTTGAAGAGGGGACATGATAGGGGGGCACGATAGCAGTATTCCAGTATTTGAGAGGTTGACACAAAGAAGAGGGAGTCAAGCTATTCTCCAAAGCACCTGAAGGCAGGACAAGAAGCAACGGGTGGAAACTAATCAAGGAGAGAAGCAACCTAGAACTAAGGAGAAATTTCCTGACAGTTAGAATAATTAACCAGTGGAACGGCTTGCCTTCAGAAGTTGCAAATGGTCCAACACTGGAGGTTTTTAAGGAGAGATTGGACAACGCTTTGTCTGAAGTGGCATAAGTCTCCTGCTTGAGCAAGAGGCCCCTTCCAGTTTTATTCTGATTGATTGATAGGTGTAAAGTCTTCTAAAAGTGTGATTCAGCCACCAGCGACCTGCAGGGTGGAAATCTTCCCACTGAAAGAAAGGGAAGAATTTGCCCACGGTTGACATTACCTTCATGGTAGGGTCCTTTTCCACCAAGGGACGACAGTAAACGGGCACAGGGACATTTTTCATCCGATTATCTTCTTGGCCACCATTGGGACTCAACTGTTGGGGATGAACAGACAGCACAGGTCATTCATGGCACAGAGCTGTGTGTTTCTATGGCAAGAGAGTTGCTGGAGGTTTTGGGGGAAAATATTGATTCGTGTCCTCTTCAGGGGTGACAAGCTTAACCAAGTGAATTGTATTCCCACCTAACAGAGGGATAAATTGAAGGACATTGACCAAAGAAGTGATGTTGCTATTTTAAATCTGCTTTCTAGTCAGCTCCGCTGAAAGTAGTGGGATCTTGAGCAACCATTGGTAAGTGTGCACTGTGTATTCCTTAAAACAAGGAAATAAGGAACAAAACATTAGATTTTTTTTTTTATCAAAGTGTTGCTGTTTGGCAGAAAAGTGTGCTCTTCAGTTTTACTTTGTTTGAACACAAAATTTTGCTTTTAGAGCCCCCCCAAAACCACAAACACGCACACTTATAAAATCAACCTGAATCAATCTATTTCAAGATGAAGATTTTCATTGAATTTTATGGACTGTATATACAGCCTGTTCATGTAGAGCCATGGTGGCGCAGTGGTTAGAATGCAATAGTGCAGGCTAACTCTGCTCAGTCAGGAGTTCGATCCTGACCGGCTCGAGGTTGACTCATCCTTCTTCCAACCTTACGAGGTCAGTATAAGGAGGACCCAGATTCTTGGGGGTGGGGGCAATATGCTGGCATTGTAAACTAGTTAAGAGAGTACTGTAAAGTACTGTGGGGTGGTATATTAGTCTGAAGTGCTATTGCTGTTAAAATCATTTATAATGTATTGAAAGTAAAGGATTGGGAACTCAACAAAAAGGAATCCATGTGGATGGATTCCCTGCCCAGAAGGGCTTTGCTGACACATCTCCCAAAGAACATTACCTGTTTGTATTTGGCTGGCAGGCTCCACCCGCAGGCCTGTAAGCGGCCATCATCATTCCGGACGTGTTCGCGGACTTGACGGTATTGCTCTCGCTTCTGCTCACGGCGTGCCGTTGATGTGCAATCACTGAGGAGAGAAGGATCAGGAGGAAGATGAGGACAGACCAAGAGGACAAGGAAAGGTTCCATAACAATAGGAAGAGAGGGAGAAATCCGGTACAGGAAGTCCTCAACTTTTGCCAGCAATGGAAACTGCCATTGCTTCTGACCATCCTAAAGCCCGTTGTCATTTGACCAACCTGATTTTATCTTTTATTGCAGTGGTTGTTAAGCAAATCACCATGGTTCATTCAGCAAATCTATGGTTGTTAAGTGACCGAAGTTTCTGCCACTCAAAATTCTAACTGGAGAATACGATTAATGACTCTTGGCTATGGATGTGTCCCATTGGAGAATATGAATTATGATTCACCCGGGAGATGGGGGAAAACCAGGGTCAAGGGTGACAAGAGTGACAATGAATGATGTCAGTATGTGGTCATGTGATGACGCTGGGTTTTATAGGAAAATACAACAACTGGGATAAAGTTGACCCTGCTGAACTTTTTAGTAAAGCGCCAACCTAAAAGAAAGAAGCCAACCCACAACTAAACATGGTGAAAACTAAACATGGTTGGCTACACCCAGGCAGCACCGGCATGTTTGCTCCTAATAAATCTTCTTTAAGTTTTGGAAGTTCGGCTAGAGATTCATGATTTAAATAGGGGTAACTGCCGGAGCCGTGACACCCCACCTTAAATGACGCTATTGTTCACAACGGAGCCTTTTTGCTGTAAAATTGGAAGTAAACACTGGCTTTCAGCAAAAACATTGTAAATCATGGTCATGTGACCAAGGGACCCGGAAAACAGCTGTAAATGTGGGCTGGTTTGGTAAGCACCCACAATGGGATCCTGTGACCACAGAGGTGTGTGTGTGGCCATTGGAACTTCGGAACCAGGTCACAAATACTTTGAGAGAGGTTCATTATAACATCAAAGAGTCACTAAACAACCATCGTAAGTTGAGGACTACCTGCATATACAGAGACATGAGTGGAAACAAAGAAAGCTCCTTAAATAAGGAAATAAGAGCTACGCTTTAAGGAGCGGAAAATCCACGGTGTGTCAAAACAGGGGTGACCTGTGGAGTCTTAAGCAATATAAAGATTTTTGGGGCCAGCTGTAATCAGCGCCTTTGGAATAGGAAGTAAGGACACGAAAAGCTGCTTTCTATTAAGAGGACTCAGAATTTATGCAGTGGGAAAGAAATTAAGTTACATTTTAGACCAGGGAGGAAAACTGGCAGGTGCACACCAGATCTTATCCCCTTCAACCTGCATGGGCAACAGATTGGGTTGATGCGACTTTCAAGACAGAAATATCCGGGTGAGGGCCTGGATCTTTAATCCTGCCCTAGAATTTCCTGCACAGCAAACTGATCAGTAGTCGTGGGCCAAACTATTTAATTAAACATACCAGGTGATATTTTAGCGTTCTGTATATTTCTCCCAAGAACCCAGCATTTATACCTTTCATACATATTATTTAGGACTAGAGAAAATTTCCTCTCTTCTTTCCAAACCTATTCCTCTGTGCACATCATCTAAATACAATATTAGTAAGAGAAAGAAAATTATTTTCCTCGTTTTAAACGTTCTGTTCTGCATTTAAATCTAGCAGGAGGAAGGGTGGTATTTATTTGTTTAATAGCATACAATAACCAAAATGAAAATACCAAACTATGAGCTTCCAGCCAGCCAACTGTGGAACAGCCGAGCTCTGCTGACATCCTATCAGCTTGAATTCTCAAAATCAGCAGGAGTTTGGAAGAATCTTTTCCGATTTACAAATATTATTAAAAGACGTAAGCATTCATGAATTATGTGAAAGCTTGTTTTTTAATTGCTAGTCATAAATGATGTTAATTTTGTTTCCCCAAAACAAGACTCAGCCGGAAAATAAGCCTTAGCATGATTTTTCAGGATGCTCTTAATATAAGCCCTACCCCAAATATAAGCCCCAGTTAAGATCGTCAGCGGATGGATGCATTTAGTATCGTATTTCCCCCCCAAAATAAGACCTAACCAGAAAATAAGACCTAATGCAAAAATTAATAGAAGACCCAGTCTTATCTTTGGAGAAATACAGTATCAGACTCCTTCTGATTTTTTTTTTGGCTACCATAAATGAGCTCTTCTACAAAAGCACACACTGCTAAGTAGCCCTTCCACTTTCTGAAAAAGAAAAGCGGAGCCAAACTTACTCGTCTGGGAAAAACTCAAGAGTTCGGTTCCCGGCAGAGATTTGACACAAGGTATGACTGCGACGCTGGCTTAACCCAGCTGCTGTGGGAGATTTGTAGTGGATATTCACTGATGGGTAGCTCCTTTTCGCTGGTGGAGGGCTGGAGGAAGAACTGAACAATCGGCTGAAGCTGGGGAGGTTAGAGAGAATGCAGACAGAATTAAGACAAGGTGTTATGAATCCCAAATCTGACATATTTCCTTTTTCAAAACAGGCCTTGGGCAGCGTAGGTCTCCTTTGAGGCACTTCAAGAAGGCTTCCCTACTTGTTGGGCTTAGATCCTGTCTTAAATTAGCACGTGTATTTTAAATGTAAGCTAGGAAATTAATATAAGACCCAGTCTTATCTTTGGAGAAGCCACGAAAATTGACCTGTGTGAATCTTTGGCTTAATAACTGCGTATTCTCACAATAAGCAGAAAGCCTAACCCACGTTATCAATTAAGATAAGATGATTTGCACGTGACATCATTCCTGATCAGTTTTTATTATATTCCTACATGAAGGTTGTTTGAATCCTCCTTATGTGGGTAAAGCCTGAGGCCTCTCTCCAATGCTATTCAGGGAGCCATTTGCAAACAAAGTCTGCCTTTAGAGATCATAAATGCCACGTACTTTGGATACTATACTATACTGCAAGAATATCCTACACAACCACATCTCCTTGCTGACACCTCACCAATAAACTCCGCTACTTACAATTGCCAAATGGTGGATTTTTTCTTCTCCTGAACGGAAGGATGTTCCCGGGAGGCTCTGCAGAGAAACATAAAATTCAGAAACGGGCACATGATGGCCAAAAGATGGTTAGCCTGCCCCTCCATCACTGGGCAGAGTCCCAAATTCAGCTGATTTTTCTGGGAGTCACAATGACCCTTCCCACTGCTATTTATTCCTTCAAATGTCTCGCCAAAAAAGACGGAGGTGGCCTCACAAGATGCGGAGGTGTAAAACATCTCCCCTCCAAGTAGAGCCGTGTTTCTCAAACTTGGAAATTAACAGTAAAACAAAAAAGAAAACCAAGCCACCCACCAGAGAGGCTCACCCTCACCTGATCATCTCTGTCCACCTGACAGCCTCCTGCAGCTCCATCAACCTTTCCTTGTACTGGTTGCGCTCCATGAGAACACGAGCCATCTCCACACGGGTGAAGCGCCGTCTCTGAGCAATAGGGATGTTGTCCTGCAGGGGGGAGGAGGAGGACTTCAACCCACGGGAAATGGAAGGGGAAGGAGATTAGTACAACACCAAAGAAGGAGGTTAAAAACATTAGTTCCCTTTGGGTTTTCTGTTCACCCTCCCTCCCAGTGATGGGTTGTCATTCTGAAAATTTAGCTCCAAACCCGTTCAGAGAAAGCTAACATTTATCCAGAGAAGCAGCAAAAGTTTAACTACGAGGCAGAAATGTGCATGCATATGAGTAAAAAGTAACCCTGTCAGGCAGAAGACTGAAGACATATGCTGTTAGTACACAAAATTAAAACCAGCCTTCTTAGAGCATTCACGGGTTGTGTGAATTGGACGATTACATTATTTTACCTTGGATTTCAAAAGGCAAACAAGATGATGCATGCAGTCTACAACTATTTCATACATGTGGTTTTTTTTTTTTTTAAAAGCCACTGATTTGCGTTCACGAGACAGTATAAGACCAGAAAAAGGAAGCAGGGGGAGGATTAACTCTTAGCGGACCCTCCCGTAACTACTATTCGGTTTTTCTAGGATGAGTCTTCCTGATCTTTTCAATACACTCAACTTTTACAGTGAATGTCATTCAGGAATGACTGGTTGACAAGTTACCTATTCCCATAATCATGAGAATGCTCTCCACCACAGTGAACACGGATATGGCAATGCTGTGATGTCAGTGCACAGTGATGTCATAATCTCAGGGTCATTATTCAAGGAAATGGAAAAGAAAGACCCCTCTCCTCCCCAAATCCCCTCTTTCCCTAAGCATTTTAATAATGTAATATACCAATTCTGTACAGAGATAGCTGCTTACATCCTCCAACTCTTCTTTGGGTTCTCGGCGGGCAACTATCACCTCCGATTTCACTCTGGAGGGAAAGAAGAATGAAATTTATGAAACAAGTCCAGAGGTTACCAAAAAGCAGAGCAGAAAAAAAAAATCTTGAATTGCCAATAATCAGATAGGTTGGTTTCTTTCCTGTCCCCCAAATCTAAGAAAAGCTAGAAGACATCTTTGCATTATCTTGAGAATAGTCGGAAGGCAGGAAGCGTCTCTTAGGAAACTAAATTTAATCCACATGCTTTCTAACAGATAAACTAGCCATTATAGTGGCTTCATGGCCTGGGGCCAGATTATTTGAAGATTATTTGTCTTTTCCTAGTTACATCCACCTGACCCACCAGAGCAGGGAAGCATTGGATGTTGTATCTGTGTTGTATTAACAGAGGGATACAATCAAGATCAAAGGAGGTACTAATACCACTCTATAAAGCCTTAGTAAGACCACGCCTAGAGTACCGCATCCAGTTTTGTTTACCACATTACAAAAAAGATGTTGAGACTCTAGAAAGAGTACAGAAAAGAGCAACCAGGATGATTAGGGGACTGGAAGCTAAAACATATGAAGAACGGTTACAGGAACTGGGCTTGGCTAGTCTAGTGAAGAGACATGATAGCGGTCTTCCAATATCTGATGGGCTGCCACAGAGAGGAAGGGGTCAAGCTATTTTCTAAAGCACCTGTAGGCCAGACAAGGAATAATGGGTAGAAGAGAGATTCAACCTGGAAATAAAGAAAAACTTTCTGACAGTGAGAACAATCAACCAGTGGAACAGCTTGCCCTTGGAAGTTGTGGGAGCGCCATCACTTGAGACTTTCAAGAAGAGACTGGACTGCCATTTTGTCAGAAATGATGTAGGGTCTCCTGCTTGGGTGGGGGGGGTTGGACTAGATGACCTACAAGGTACCTTCCAACTCTGATTATCTGTTATCTGTTACAGGTTCTCTCTCCTAAGGAGCTCCATCTGGTGAACTCAAGAAGGGCCTGCTCTGTAATGGCTCCTTCCTTGTGGAACATCATTCCTGCGGAGCTAAGATTGGCCTTCACCTTGACACTGTTTTGCATGGTTTTGGAGATGGTTTCGTCAATGGGCCTGGGGACCCCAGAGTGGTATGGAGCCCATCAAGGGATTGGTTTGATGGAAGGTTAATTGGGTTTTGCATTTGGATTTTATTTCTGTAAGCCACCCAGAGTCACCATGAGGCCCTATAAATTTTCTAAAGAAATAAATAGCTGCTGCCTTTGATATGAAAAAGAGAGCAACTGGAAGATGTAACTCAGGTCAGACCATGCCCCACCAAGCCTCCCCAAAGCCAAACACAGCCCTGATGCAGCCCTCAATGAAATCAAGTTTGACACCCCTGATCTATTTCAACCGTAGAGACATAATCCCACCTGAGAAATGAATCCCGAAAGCAGGTGGCCACTCACTTTTTAAGCTCTTCCTCTAGTTCCTTGACACGGGCTTCCATTTTGGATTTCGCCTGCTTCACTGCTTCCAGCTCTCCTTTCAACACCTCCTGTTCTCCTGTAAGCTGGTCCACTTTTGCAATTAAGTCATTCTTCACAATATTCAAAGCATTTCTGGAGCACGGCAAGTCATCGAAAGAAAGAGAAATATATTCAGCCTCGGGATACAGCTAGCATCATAGGAGACACTTTTGGAAGAAATATCGATCAGTAACATAAGGAAACAATGGGATATCGTGGAGAGTCATAGATAAAGCGTAAGATACTTAATCTAAATCCTGCATTTTAGTTAGTTGGATTCCCTTTTGCCAAGTTATCAATGCAACGGAAACAAACAGGCTCCAATTTTTCCTAAATTGTCAGCTACGATCCTCCCCAACATGGTTATGGGTGTTGGAGTCCACCGATATCTGGGGGCCCAGGGATAACAAAGGGGGTGGTATGGGCTGAAAATGTTCCCCACCTCCGCCGTTGCAAATTGATTGGTTAGGTTTGGGTGAAAAAAGCTGCAAAACCCCAGTGGGCAAAGTTCCCAGCAGAATGAAGAAATCAAGCACAAGATAAACTGAACAAAACCAACACACGCAGCACCTCATCAACTAAGAACTCATGCTAAACTCACAAGGAAGCAGGAAACGTTTATCTGGAGAAAGGGAGGAGTCTTACTTGGTTTCTAGCAGCTGCGTATTCTCCATCAAGAGATTCCCCACTTCTTTGCCCATTCCTGGGAGGAGGTGGAAAAAAATAAATAAAAGCCATACAAATTTTGACACATACATTTTAGCAAAAAACAAAACACCAAAACTCTCTTCGTTTTGAAGAGATATCATTTTCTTGTTCAAAAGTTTCTCATTAGTTACAAAGAATGGAAGGAATGGCATAAGAAGATATGTTCCATTCATCCGAAAACTTCCTTCAGAAATTAAGGTGGAAGATTATTTGGCGGGCTTGAAATCTGCTGGATTGCAGATTTGCTGCCTGATCTTTAAATAGCTGTCATTTTTTTAAAAAAAAAGCCTAGCTAAGGACCCGATCACACGACACAGGCTTGCTTTCACTCCGGATGAGGCAAAGGCAGAACAGGGCAGAGGTCAACAGACTAAATTCAGCAACTCTGGGTTCGTTTTCTTGCTCAGCCCAGAAGTAAACTGAGCGTCATTCACAATCTAAGTATTAAACAGAATTGGTGCAATTTGTTTTGTTTAAAAGGAGAAAATGACTATATCAGCTACTCTTCAAGGGAAGTTGATACCAACAAGGAACAATTATAATAAACATCTTCTTTGGAGCTTAACAGCCGGTGGCAACCCCTTTGATGATCATTGGATGGGAAGCCAAGTATCTTGGCTTGGTCATTATTTGGACAGAAAATCACTAAGGAATCACAGACTATGAGCTAGGCTGGGAAGTTCAAAAAAGCTCGCCAGAAAAAAGACAGTGGCAAATCACCTTCTTCATACTGTGGGTAGCAGCAAGTAGCAATTTGCCTTTGAAGTTATCAAGGGCTTACATCAAGGGAACCTTAATTTGCCTTCTGTGCAGGTCGCCTTGCCCACCTTGGCAGAATTAAAAAAAATACTAAGGAGGACTGGTTCCGGTTTGCCTTTGGATCAGAAATACACAGAAGGAAATTCTGGGAGGTAAGCTAGACTGAGAAAGCAAGAAAAGTTCCTGATAGTTCATTTCCATACTCTTCAAGAAATGTACATGAAGTCCACCAAACCTATACTCAGCCTGAAGGAGACCTCATATTTCTACTTCAACATGTATTGCTAAATTGGTCCCCCTATTACAAGGCCTTCAGGTTCTTATAACCTGTCTTTCATCTGGCTCAGTTTTAATCTGATGCTTCATTTACATAAAACATTCATTCAACCAGAGGACAACTGCCCAATTTATCAAGGGCATTGAAAGACCTATATTCTCATTATATTCAATCTCTTTTTCTAGAAATCCAGAGGCATATACAGTACTGACAGAAGGAATTCCATGGGTGCATTCCAAACATGGCAGTCTTTAGTTTTTGAGAATCTTTAAGGTAGAAGTCCCCAAACTTGGCAACTTTAAGATTTGTGGACTTCAACTCCCAGAATTCTCCAGCCAGCTTACAGCTGGCTGGCTGGAGAATTCTGGCTAGAAAGTTGAAGTCCACAAATCTTAACGTTGCCAAGTTGGGGACCCCCGCTTTAAGGGTTTTTTCACAAATAACCACTTTTCTCTCCCAAGTGATTGAATAAACTGAGATGCTACCTCTGATTTAGATGGACCTCAAACCGTTTGGTGGCCTTGAAATCACCTAAGCTTTAAAATAAAGTTATACAAAGAAAAGGTTCCTCTGGATGGTCCTATCCTTGCAGCCAATTAAATTGCATTGAAGTTCATTCTTTATAGGGCAGATTTCACTTCAAAGCACCAAGAATTCAACAGAGAAGAAACAGATTTCTTCTATCACAAAATGGAAGTGGTATACTACTACTATGAATCATTTTGTCCCGATTCCAGATGTTAAAAGAAGAGGTCTTCTAGAGATCAACACACAGCCAACCTCTGCCAGCATCCAAACTCTCTTTTACTTCACACTGCATAGGAAAAAATAAACTGGGTTTGTTTGTTTTTTAAATGTGGGATCTGTTTAGGTTGCTTCCATGGGACAAATGCACACTCAGGACAAATGAAAAGTTAACAAAGAGAATCATGGGAGCATACATAAGAAGTGAGGACACATCACAACACACCAGGGCAGTGCACAGACCTTCTTCCCACAATCAAATGGAGATGAGTTAGAGATGGCAGAGGAATGGCCACTTCCCAGGGAGAATGGAAAAGCAGCTGCAGTTGTGTTGAGAGGACATGAAGAGATTAGTCCCTTTTGATGTTTCAGGCAGCATTTGATCTGCACGCTGTTTCGCAGGGCACAACCAAGAACTAAATCCTTGGGGGCGTTAACAAGGAAATGCTCCTGGTCTTGCCTTTTCCTTCTGAGTCCAATCTGGTTAATGGAAGAATCCAAGAATGATGCATCTGTTCTTCATTCTAGCACTCCTTGAACGTTCAGAGGGAAAAGGCGAACAATGGAGCTTTCATTGCAAGAATGGGGGACTTGGTCCATGCCATCCAATCCTGGTATTTAATGCAGACTTTGAATGCAAGTTTCTTTAGATATGGCCGTCTCTCATTTAGAATAGAAAGGTGGGTTTTTAATCAGCAATATCGCTAAACAAACAGGAGTTGGAAATCTCAACCAAGAATCATCTGGTCATCTTTGAGTAGATCCCTCTGAATAACTTGCCTATATTTTAATATTCTACTTCTTCTTTTTTTTTTAAAAAAAGAAAAGATCTGCAATGAAGATGACCTGATGCTGTTTCAAACTGGTGGCGGAAAGAAGCTATGATAGAAATCTCGACATGCAGAAAATTAGCAATTTATTTAGCTTTATTTTCTGAAATGTTGTGGTTTTGAAAAGAAACGTTTGGAGCACGAGTCAGAAAAAAAAAACTGCCCGAAGCATCGGCACAAGATGTCAATCACAAGGAAGTGGACTGCTTAGACAGAACTTCCCATCAGCTTGCCCCAGTTTTCGAAAGAAAGGAATGAGAGAGGGAGGACCCACGGTATGACCCCCCTCTTGGAAGCTGCTTGAAACATCAAAGCGGATAACCACCTAAGTCCCAAGAGAAGAGGACAGGACAACAATACCTCCTAGATGATGGCAACTGAAGAAGATCTGCTTCTCAGAAAGAAAAAAAGCACCTTCATTACCATCACAGGGATCGATACAAAAACATAAACCAAGACCCAAGGAATCCCAGAAAGAAGACAAAAAACAAAACAAAAAAGGATGAAGAGATGTCAAGTGAAAGGAAAGGGGAACACCCATAGGTTTTAAAACTGGCTTTCCGCCTTACCAAAGAAATCATCCCGCACTATGAAAGTCATTGCGTATGAGAGAAGAGGCAAGGAGCAAAGGATCCAGAGGGGGAAGAGATACAGGAGAGGAAAAAAAAGGGGAGGGGAAAGAGGGGAGGGCAGGGAGAGAGAGAAAAAGCAGCCATTAAATACAACTCAGCAAATGGTGATACCGTTTTAGCACGTATGTGTATGGGGGGAAAAAAAAATCATTTACATGACAGCAAGGCAGTTCTTCACCGGTCTGATCCAGCTTAGCGGAAGGACCTGGTTCTTGAGTGAAACCCCAATCAAGGGACGACTCCTGAGGCCATCACTGTTCTCCCCACCTGAGTAACAGCCACCTTTCAGCTTGTCAGATGCGATAGCAGAAAATACAGCCTAGAGACATTCCAGAGGAATATAACTTCTGGGTCGAAGGCTTGAAGGTGTTCCCTCCCTTCTGATTACAAAAGAACACCTGCCCCCAAAACCTTCTCCTCCTTTGGTAAACAAAGTGTTGCCTGTGGAGTCCTTGGTGCTCTCTGAGCTTGCTTGTTTTCTTGCAGATGTTTCACTATCCGACTAGTAGCATCTTCAGTATTAATGAATGAGTTTACCTCATTGGGTGGCCTAATTAAGCTTAAGTTGGGTGTCAGGCCAAGGCCGAGAACAATGTAGAACAATTCAGCCAGAGTCTAGTTCTTTATTTGCTTACGCACAGCAGACAGAATCTCGCCAAACTAAACCCTTCCTCCTCCTCGCGCAATGGATATGCCATAGGGGAGTCTAGAGCCATGATGGCAAACCTATGGCACGTGTGCTACAGGTGGCATGCACAGCCATTTGTGCCGGCATGTGAGCCTCAGGCAAACTTACCTCACTGCACATGCGTGCACCTCCCAGCTGATTTTCAGCCTGTTTGAGGCCTTTTTTGGCCTCCCAGAGGCTTGAGGAAAGCCTCTGCAGCCTTTGCAGGCTGAAAAATAGGCCCGTTTCATCACTTCCTGTCTTTCCGGAAATTCCAGAAGTGACAAAACGGGCCTATTTTTCGGCCTGCAAAGGCTGCAGAGGCTTTCCTCATTGTGGGGACGCATTGCCTTCTGGGTGCTGGCGTGCAAGCGCATGTGCGCAAGCGCACGCACAATTTTTGGCACAGGAGCCCCAAAAGGTTAGCCACCACTGATCTAGAGCATAGCTATTCTAATTCTCTTCCTCTAGCTCCTATCTAGCTCCAGGCTGTGCTGCCTCTTGTCTCGCCCCACTTTCTGGAATATACTCCCTCTATCCTGGAAAACTGCTGTTTTGCTGTAGTCCATCAGCCCAGTTTCTTTTTCATGGGCACCGTGGAATGGTGTAATGAAACATCTGTAAGAAAAAAAAACTAAGCTTGGGAGGGCACCAAAGACCCCTAGTTCCACCTTGAGCTACAAATATTCTCTTCTAAGATGTTGTCTAAAGAATTCTAAAGAAACCCAAACCAAAATCATATGCCTTGTTTTTGTGGGTTAGATCCAAATGTTCTTTCCTCTTGAGAGAACGAGAGGGAGGTTTTTGGGAACAGCTCCTTGCATTCAAGAAACAAGGAATTTGGGGATCTGTCTCACGGTATCCTTAAGTCCACCTCTCAGAACTGGAACACAGCAGATGAAGAATGCTGTTGCTCTGCTTTTAATGTTATAACAGCAAGAATCTTTCCTTCTATTGAATGAGATTTCTGTGCCTTTTGTAGGCAAGATACACAAGTAACAAAATAAAAATAAAAGTTTGGGGGAAAGAACCATCAAAATCAAGCCGTGCCTCTTCAGAGGCTGCAACCAAATGAAAGATCTTCATGACCTATTCAGTCATTCTCAAAAGCAATGAAATAGGATTAAAGGGCATAAAATATCTCGGATTCAACCCTGGGGTTGCAGGCCCACTTCTGTAGGAGTGAAACACCCAAACTCTAAGGAAGAGCTTTTGTCTTCTCTTGGAGGAGGAGAAAAGCACGAGGAAAGTCCTAGCATTTTTACTCTCTTTGGAGACAGTAGATGCTAGTATTTTTTACTTTCTTTGGAGAAGAAAGGGTTGCATTTGGGGGCGGGGTGGAGATGACGTTTCCAAGAGCTAGAAGAACACTAAGTGAAAGCACAGCTTCTTTCTCTCTCTGCCTTTCTTTTGTGTTTGTTTTCTCTGTCTACCATTCTCCTCTCATCTATCCATTTTGATTTCTGGGAATTCACTCTCTTTTCCGCCGTTACCTTATTCTCTTCTCCTTACGAGTTTTGGCCCATTAGAACCGCAGAACCCGGTCTTGACTGAGGCTAAATAACTCGAGAGCTGCAGGTAGCCTAGCCTGACAACAACTTTCCAAATTTCAGAGGTACAAAGAAAATACTGGGTTTCTTGGTGCTGCTTCTTACCGCTATTTTAGAATAAGAAAATAAATGAAACGAGAACTTTAACAATCCCACTGGATTAATCTAAACATGCGTTCTGCTAAATACGGTACTTGACTGGATGATGATTTTGTTGGATTCTGGAGGCCTCTGGGTCTTAAAAATCTGAAACACTGGTTTGCCAAATCTTGTCACAAGTATCTGCTGTTAAGATATTCCAGATAAGGATGGCTTAATCATTTAAGTAAAGTGGCAGGGGAACAGGTTGATATAAGAAACAAAATATTCTTAAAACAAGCTTTCCTTTACAATACGGTAAGTCAACTTTTATCAAAAGCTACTGGAGTTAGATTGAGAAACAACCAAATCTATATCCTTTTGTCATATAAACTTAACTAGTGGGATGAGCAACGAAAGGATTTTGGCTTCCTCTGGGCCGTTCCTCTAGATCACTGTTTCTGAAACTTGGCAGAAAATGAGTGGACTTCAATTCTCAGATTTCCCCAGGTGACCTGATAGCTATGGAATTCTGGGAATTGAAGTCCATACATCTTCAAGTTGCCAAGGTTGAGAATACTAGTAGAGACGGTGCTGCTAAGGGCAACCGAGTTCCACATCCAAGGGTAATTTTGCTCAGCAATAGTACAACCTTGTCAAGGGCCAATGCAGCCCCACATTATGGGCAGTCAATTACACGCAAATTACATACAAAGTGTATGATGGCAGTCTCCTTTTTCTACTGTTGCCTCCCCAGGAACTGGTTTTCCAAAAGCACCTGGCTTTTGATTCGAAAAGGAACGTACAACCATCAAGATGAGTAGCTATTTGCCTAAAGCAAGTGTCTTCAAACTTGGCAAGTTTAAGACTTGTGGACTTCAACTCCCAGAATTCCTGAGCTAATATGAACTGGAGGAGGAAGTCCACAAGCCTTAAACCTATTAAGTTTGAAGACCCCTGATTTAAAGTCATCAGGCATTCCAACTGACTCAAGGGAATTTTTTAAGTCATACCAGGTGGTACCACTTTGTTGGTCTTGGTAGATCTTCAACAATTAACTAAGAATGAATTCGATTAGGGGTTTAGTTGAGATACTACGAGGAAATCCCAGTGTTGTGGATAAGACTGAGAATTTGGAAAAAAAATATCCAAGAAAGTAGCCTTCAAAATGAACTCTAGTAAAGTAAAGGAAGTATAACTGTTCAAGTGAATTAGTTCTTGATTATATGAGATCAAAGAAAAACAATCTCTAGAGCAGGGGTCTCCAACCTTGGCCACTTTAAGACTTGTGGACTTCAACTCCCATAATTCCTCAACCAGCTTTGCTTTAAAGGGGTACCTAGCTTTTGCTGGCTGAGGAATTCTGGGAGTTGAAGTCCACAAGTCTTAAAGTCACCAAGGTTGGAGACCCCTGCTCTAGAGCAAGGGTCTTCAAACTTGACAGCTTTAAGACTTCTGGACTTCAACTCCCAGAATTCCTCCTCCAGTCATGTTAGCTCAGGAATTCTGGGAGTTGAAATCCACAAATCTTAAATTTGCCAAGTTTGAAGACCCTTGCTCTAGAGCGTTCTCCTCTAAAAGTCCCAGGATTATTACAATTGGAAAAAAGGAGAACATCACAAACCAATTCACTTGTCCAGTAGTTTCCCCCCCACTTATTGTTAGTTTGTCAGAAGTAGCGCCAGATCCATCCAGTTAACTCTTAATTTCATTCTGGCAACCCCCTAAATATTACAGGACTATAATTCTCATTATCCTTGACTGCAGACTAACCTGATTGGGGATGATGCGACCTGTAACCCAACTACATCACAGGGCTATACTTTAGGAAGTGGTGACTTAAGCACCATTCTTCCAAATATTTTTTTTAAATCACCTAAGAATGGGTGGATATTAAATTTCAGGCTTTGAGTCCTGATATGCTTTAATTAATAAAGTACAATCTTCATCCCATATATTAGGATTTCCCACCTCCCATCTTAAATCCCAAAGTAGATGGGATCAAGTAGACACAGAGGATGGAGACTGCAGAAAGGAAATAGAAGCCAAGAACAGAAAGTGATCTCTTGTATTCAGACACCTAACTCTCAGGAGCAAGCAACTATCATCATCTTCTTTTTAACAACCCCATAATCCCCTGCGGAGTGGAGACTGAGCAATTGAATGGAGCTAGCAGAGTGTTTGAATGGCCAGATGCCCTTCCTGTTGGCAATGCAGAGTTTTGTTCAGTAGATATATTCTCATAGTGCCCAGAGAGAGAAATATCTGTCTCTATCTAGGATTGAACTCACAGCCTCCTGATTGTGAGGCGAGAGCTCCACTTCTAGGCCACCACACCACTCCTCAGGAGCAAGCAAAAACAGCCTCTCATAAATACCCAGTCAGTACCTTTATTGTTTGTCACATATGTTACAAGAATCTCTTCAGACTGCTTGTCCTTTCCCTGGGAATGACCAGATAAGGCTCAATGGATCTTTGGGGGAGGTCAAGCTTATGCTGAATGTGGCTGCACAAGGATTCCAAGCTAGGTCCTTGTTTGACCCCTCCTTCCAGCCTCACTGGCAGGTTCCCAACATCTACTGTCCAAACTAATAAAAGTAGGGAAAGGTAGAACCAAGTTAACAAAATGAATTTTGACAGGATTTATTACATGTGAATATCCTCTTCATTCGTTTAAAAATTCTAGGGGGGGGGGGGGGAAAGAAAAGGAAAAGGAGAAAATAAACCAGGAATCTAAGGAGAGGAGAAATACACACCTGAAAATTCCCCTATGGGCCATGTCCCACGAAGCACGGAGAGGAAGGAATGGAGTGGGCGGGGGAGGGAAAAAAAGTCAATCAATGTCTAAAACCAACAACAACGAAAAATAATTCTTGGATTTTCTTTTTAAACAACTCCCTTCCCTCCTTCCCCAAACCCCAAGACAATGATTTTGCCATTTTTCCATATCAAAAGGCATGAAACCATAAAGAAAAGTTCCACCGTGACCATAAGCAGCATGGATTTACATGAGGAAAAGCATGAGGGGCATGAGAGAGGAATGGTCGATGTTTCTGATGAAAATGTGCCTGAGGCCCTTGCGAGCCCCTCATCTAACCTAGTTTTTTTCCTCACAGCGGTATCTGGTTTTCACGAAGGAAGAATTTTCGCTTGCTTTCTTTGCATTGTTCTGCTTCAAGACAGCGAGGGATGAAAGAAAAAGATGACGTTTTGAAACCCAAATCTCACTAAAACGCTTAGGGAGTGTCCCACCAGCTCCAAACAAAACCTCAAGCATACCTTAGATGTCTGCCAAGAATATCATCTTGTCCCACAATAGGATATTTGTGTGTGTTCTTGAATGGGTTGGATTCTCGGGTTGTCACATTATGGCCTGACGTATTTTTATTTGTCTCTACCTTTCTATGGTTGTGTGAACGCGGAAAGGAGAATGGAATAAGTTATGGTTTGTTTGAAGGCAAGCGGTCTGTAACCATAGCTTGCTTATGGATTGCGACTGCAGCTTAGTGTGACGTGCAAATGGAGAGTATGGTTTGTTGGCAGTTTCCCGGTTTGTTCTTGGTTTCCTTTAGGCCTCAAACATCCTTCTAACTATCCTGTAAGATGTCAAGTGAGCTCAACAATTAAAGATTGGCAGGAACCAACCAGGAATTGAGCAAAGAAGCTGTGAGTGAGGTGCTGTGAAGACCCAGCTTTTCCCCCAAGAATTGGGCTAGGTTGAGGGGGCTGAGCTGGGAGGCTCTTTGGTCTGGCAAATCTTTGTTTTACAGAAGGTTGTGAGCAGACTAGAATAATCATATAGCTGGCCATATAAGTCAAATAAAGATCTAAAGGCAACAACCGGTAAGCTAAGGATTGTTTAATCATAGTTTCTTAAATAAATCCTAATTGGCTGGGATTAATCCATAAAGCATAGCTCACAAACCATAATGGCTGGGTACACCCAACATACTACAGATATCTTCATTTAACAACCAAAATTGGAACCCATTTAAACTTGATTGTTAAAATGAAATGGCTGCTAAGTGAGCCTGTGACTATACAAACTATTTGCTTTGTTTTAAGCTCATGGGTTAGCTACCTCTCTATAGTTTATTTACTTTATTAAATGCTTTTTAAAATCTCTGCTACAAAACTGGCCCTCTAACATGGATAGATTCCTGTTCCTTGCGGAACAGGTGGAGGAAAAGTGAGATAAGAATATGATTCTGATCAAAGAATTCAGCTTTTTTAAAGAAAACAATGACATCTTTTAAAGGTATAAGTCCTATGGTTAGGAAAAATAACTGCCTCAAAGGTAAAGAGAATTGTAGCCTTCTTAGAAGCCTGAGAGTAACAAGGCATCATTACGCCACAAAACTCTTTCCCAATCTCGAAACGAATGGAATAAATTAAGCAAATTAATTAGAAAATGCAGAACAAAAAAATATTAATACATGTTTTAAAAGACTGCATTTATAAATACCGCAGAATTTGGCATAACCCTGATTAGCAAATAATTGCCTTTTTCATACCTATACACTCTGGCATACATTAGATAAACCTTAGAACTTGACTTCAAATGCCACTGATTGGGTTTCACCTTTTCCTTTTCTCTAGATATTTAAATTATCCAAGTTAAACATCTACTGACATTTAAGAAATTTGTGTCAAAAACCTACTTCGAAGTATCGTTGTGAGGATAATCAAGGTAAGGATTTCAAAAGCCGTGCCTTTGAAACGATCTTTACCTAGTAGATCTGCTCCTTCGTCCACGTCTCCAATGGCCTCTGAGCCGACTTCAGTAAGCTCGGTATACAGGGAATCAGTATTGATGCCAAAGGCTTTATTCACTATCCCTTGTGTTGGGCTATTTACATAAAAAAGAAGAATTAGAAATACATTGCAGCAAGAAATAGTTTCGTTTTCCTCTCTTAATCACAGAAGGCAGCTTTTCCACCCCAAATACATTTGTTTTTTACCCTTATGCCAACCAGGAAAAGTATGTTCTGCGCATGAAAGAGACCAGAAATTTGTAAATGACTGTGTCATGCCCCTGATGGAGACTGACTCTGAGCATCCATCCTAGGGCACGGAGGGAGGAGAGGATCAGGGTAAAACGTGGTCTCCTCGGGAGGAGAGGGCCATGATCCTCTTCATGGGTTGCAGGTGTGAGATCTGCATAAGAGTTTGGACCTGCGTGCTAACAGACGCTGGAGACAAATTAGTGTTTTATTCCTAAAGAAGGTTTATCATGGTTGGTTCCAATGGACTGTCCCTGGTTATCTTCCTGAAGTTGGCAATTATCTATCCTGGTCTGTCGTGGAACTTTATTCAGAGTGGTTTGTTTTTGGTTTTTGCTTCGTTATCGGCTCTTTGAATTTGAACTGTGTTTCTTTTCTTTGAAATGTTATTTTGAAAATAGTTTACTTCTCCTCCACTGTGAACAATGACTTTTATTTACGTTTTGGTTTTTGTTATATTTCTGAGATACTCTGGGTCATCACAGACTGTTTAGCACTGTGTGTCAGCTTTGAAATTCAGCTGCCATAATTAAAAGAAGTGGGGGGGTGGATGGAGGAGTTGAAAAGTTCAAGGTTATTCTGTATGTCGTACGAAGAAGTTCCAGTTGCAGTTAATTGGTTCTCGTGATTTATGAAGTGTAGAAGTGGGAGGAGAGAAGGTGGATTCTGTGTAGCCACGAAAATACTTTCACTCTGGGAAATTGCCTTAGACATGCCAGATCTGTTCCTAAATAAATCAATTGGAGAGAATATGTCTCGGAATGATTGATGTCATGGATACTTTCTGGATGCCTTAGACAATCTTGGTAACTTTAAGTTGTATGAACTTCAACTCCCAGGGATTCCCCAGCCAGAGGAATTCTGGGAGTTAAAGTCCACACGTTTAAAGTAGCCAAGGTTGGGAAACACGGGTTTAGCAGGACAGCTACCCTACAAGGAGTTGACAATGAGAAGAAATAGGCCAGCTTCATAAACTATGAGGTCTGTTTCAATGATTTCCCACTATTGGAACCCTTTAAATGATTAAATTCCCCCCCCCCAAAGTATTCCAACCTGTTCCCTGAGCGCTCCAGTCTAGGATCCTGGCACATGTCCAACTCTGGAGTAGAGTCAATATCTTGAAAATCCGACCCCTCGTCACTGCTTCCCATTCCTGTAACAAAGGCAGGGGGAACCATGTATGCTAGTGAGCCAACAAAGCATTTGGACAAAACATGCATCATTGGAGTAGCACATGTCCCAAAAGTGCTTTTTCGAGAAACAACAGGACTTTCTGGTTTTTCTTTGAAGACATTTTGCTTCTCCCCCCAAGAAGCTTCTTTAGAAAACATCCTACAGAAAGCTCAGCTCCGACTTCTCCGTGAAAATCAGAGCGGAAGAAGCTTCTTGGATAAGAAGGGAAACGTCTTCAAAGAAAAACAAGGAAGTCCAGTTGCCTCTTGAAAAAAAAGGCTCCTTTGGGACAATCATGGACCTGGATAACTGAGAACCTCCGTACACATTTAGACTGGAGACTTTATTCAATTTTCAAAATTTTTTAAAAACATAAAATAAAATTACATACATCACTGTGCCTGCGTCAAAGAAATCGTTTTCATTTCCCTATCATCTTTCTATACATTCTTTCTTTCTTGTTACATTGCATTACCATTGCATATTCTTTCCCTTATTCTTGTTACAAATTTATATATTTTCATCATATATTTCTATTTTCTTCACAGTAGATATATACATTTCTATACACAATTTCCTATTCTTTTCCTAATTGCAACTTTAATTTCTTTTTATTCTTAAGTCATGCATACCAGGCATACCAGACTATTTAGTATGTCGATTCCTGTGACAGGACTTTTCAGTGACTGCTACAAGACAGAGTTGAAGAAGCTTCTTGAATGAGAAGCGAAACGTCTTCAAAGAAAAACCAGAAAGTCCAGTTACATCTTGGAAAAAGCACCTTTGGGACCAACCAATGACCTGAATGACTATGAAGAATCTCCATAGACACGGAGTAACACAACCTGTGTCTTAGGGCATCAGAAATATCACACAGCCGCAATCCAGAATGCACGCCTACCTTGTCTGTCTCATATACAGGTAGTCCTCGAGTTGCAACATTCCTTTAGTGACCGTTCAATGTTACAACAGCACTGAAGAAAGTGACTTACGACCGTTCCTCACACTTACAACGGTCTCTGTGTTCCTCACAGTCACGTGATCAACATTTGGGCCCTTGGCAACTGTTGTGTATTTATGACAGTTACAGTGTCTGTAACGTGATCGCCATTCACTACCTTAACAAAGTCAACGGGGGAAAGCCAGATTAATCCTTAATGACGTGATCCATTTAACAACTGTAGTGATTTGCTTAAGAACCATGGCTAAAAAGGTTGCAAAAGAGAGCACAACTCAACTAACTGCTGCCTTGCTTAGCAGAGAAAAGTTGGTCTCCATTGTGGTCGTAAGTCAAGGACTACCTGCCTCGACTAGACTACACTGACGAAATCATTATCTCAAATATTTTTGGTCCCTAACTATTTAGGGTCCTTCCAATTAATTTCTTCTTCTTCGTCTTGTGCCACATCCGTCATCGGACGTTGGCGATCCTCTTTTTTAGCAAGAGATTAATTCCAGGACCACAAAACTAGCCAGGTAGATGATGAGAAACTGAGACGTTCAGGAAGCGAGTTAAGCAGACATGCTAACTCTACCTATGCTCACGTTCCTTGTCTCCTGGACCACTTGAACTTCCATATTTCGGCTGTTGCGTTTCTCCCGTGACCGTTTGTTGTTTTTGGAGGTGACGTAGTCGTTCATCGACTGAAGGCTCTCATTCAGGGGCGTCACAGCAGCCGAGGGCACCGAGGATGTGGGGGTATTCGATTTTGTTCCTGTGGTGCTGGGCGTGGCGGCTGCAGAGGACTGTCCAGATTCCGACATTTCATCAGGTGGACACTGGCGTGAAATGAGGTTTGCAAAGAGGGGAGAGAGAGAGAGAAAAGGCAAGATATCCACACCAATCCGTTTTTTTTTTTTTTATCGCTGGTCCTATTGCTACCTTTGAAGCATTAAGACGCCAAGCAGCAGTAACGGAAACCACGAAATGAACAACGGCGTGTCACAAAGTTTCATGGATGAGGAATATCTCTGCTGTCAGGACTGCAAAGTCTTGCAATGAATCCCTCGGGGCCTGAAGGTTGGCATTGCCAAAGCCAGCAGAGCAAGTGGCCAAAACTTTATTTTTCCTGCAACTTCCCTTATGCCCAGCAGGCTGCTAGATCTCAATTCACTTGCAATGGGCTTCCAAAATTAATCAGTAACTGCATGCAGTACCCAGAAGTGGCTGCAACTCCTTACAATTTCTTCTGAGACTTAAAGTAAGACTATAAAATCCCAATTGTATCCTGTGCACGATAGGGTGCATAATTATTTACTGCCTCCTTTTAGTCAATGGGCAAAAGACCTCCAATATATTAAACTGGAGATAAGCAAAGCACTGTGCTCTATTTATTCTGAACTATTCCCACTAACCCTTGCCATTAAATCAAAAATTCATAACTTTTAGGGAGGCAACCGGTTGCTTATCTTTCAACTACACAGCGTAATAGCAGTCAAGAACTCGAGCAGCTGAGACAGATATGAATTTTGAGTCCAACAATATCACCAAGACAATGGAGTCTCCACCACTGGCTTCAAGCAGTCTTACAACAGGCTTTAGACCTTACAGGTCCAAGTTGTCCATCATCACTTCCAACCTGAGGGGTGTGTAATTAATTGCTATGGGGAGAGCAGTGCCACTGGTTAGGAGCTGATCCACTACCGTGTGTTCTCAGGCCACTGCAACTGTTAAAATTAGTTATTAATCAGCTTTCTATTTTTCCTTTATTTAAATTGTCAATGTACCTTTTCATCTGATTCTTATTGAAACCACCTAGCAGGGAAAATCAAATGAACCCAATGTGTTTAGGTGGAACCTAAAGCAAGACCATCGTATATGGGGACAATAGATTCAACTGACTATTATAGAAACTAAACTCCCCTTGAAAATAAGGAAAGGTTCTCTTAAAAAGATCAGTAAGGGACATCTTCAGACACCAGAGGTTGCCTTCCAGGCTTGTATACATTATATAAAAGGACCAACTAGAGTCAACTAGAGTCAACACCCTAATAATTAAAAGCCACACACCTAATCAGGAACCACATAAATACAACGGGTAGGACAGCCCAGTGCACATATTCTGGAGAGAGAGAGAAGTGCCCTGATGATGACTCCAATCCAAAATTTTGGAAGATGAAACCTTTGGTCCTAGTGACCAACCCAGACTGGATCTTGTAGCATTATCCTGGGACATTGTATTTAGTCGAATGAACTCAATTTCATACATGCTACACCAACAGCACCCCATGAATTGTGCAGCCATCCCAAGGAGTCCAGAGAATGGATGTCGCCTTTGCAAAACTTGTGGGCCAATCTAGGCAGGATTTGACAGTTGATAAAGACTTTCTGGAGCAGGAAGTTCATGGCTAAGCTGGTCCTTTCCCTGCTGAATGCACACAAATGCAGGTACCACCTACTACCTTTCTTCCAATCGGACAATGGAAAAAGACTGAATCTCTTTCTTCATGGCCGGTATAAAATTTTGGATGAAAGAAGACAGCCAAATGGAGTCTTCCCACCCTCAAGTTCAAGCTCTTCCCATTTAGTGTTGTTTCAAGCAGCAGCAACACCTGGATTGAGGTAGATGTCTAATGGAAGCAAAATAGCTTGAGCTAAATGAATTTATTGCTAATTTTTAAAGGTCACATTCATATCAATGACAATGAAGACTATGAAAAGATGACTGCTTAACCCTTTGCAGCCGTTTACATCTTCAGGAAGGCAGGCCTTGTTTTTGAAGTCACCAACACCGTACGCTGGTGAGATTCAAAACAATCCATGTGTGATTAAACACGAGAAGATCATTTAACTTAGCAATAGGGTGCTTCCTATCCAGAAAGTATTAATTTTCTTCAGAGTTCTGGGCTCACTGTGGTGACTGGCTGTTGGCTTAAAGGTATGATTGACAGCAAATGATGGAGAACTAAGTTTTCACCGCAGTCTGTTGGTCAGAATGAGATCAAGCCACAACAAGCATACTGTCCTATGTCATTTCCAGGACCAAGGCTAATAAACTACATTCTTATTGAAAAGGAAGAAGAGTAATGTGGATGGTTTAAATTATGAAAGTCCCATCCTTGAAAGAATGACCCACAGAGGATGAAGCCCAAATGTTGCGGGTTCCAGAAAGGAATGATCAGACTGCAACCAGAAGAAAGGGAAAATCGATTCAACACTAGATAAAATATCAAGATGTCCTGATCAGGGGAAAGTCTGTTCCCTTCCTTTCATTAGAATTTCTACTTCCCCAGGTTTCTTAGAGCTTGAATTTGATGATTTTTTTTTGGGGGGGGGGGCATTCCAACTCTACGAATATCCATTTTGGCCTCATCTTCCTTCTCTGCTCTTCGTGAGCCCCGCTTCACCTCCACGCATGCTCCAAAATACGAAGGGTAGCAAACGAACATGAAACCATTTGCTGCATCAGGTCATAAAATATTCTGAGCGCAAAGCTCCTTCTAGCATGGCTAAACTTGAGCCTCCCAATGGACCCAACCTGGATACTCAAAAGGGAGGAATGGGGGAAAATGTAGAAGGATCATAAGTTGCCCGTTGCTGGAAAGGTAGAAAAAGTTAAGCGAGCAAACAGGCCAGGAGGGCGGGGGGAGAAATGGATTTAGGCTGCAAAGGGTTACAGACACAAAGGGTCTTTCTCCCCGCCCACCATGGAAAACGTAATTTGACAAGTAGGCAGGGAAGCTCTCATTTCCATGATAGTTGTAAAAAAAACCTTGTAGACGGAGTTGGATTGCAGCTGACTGAGGTCACTCAGGTGCCAGTGGTCCACTGCGGGGGCAATCTTGGCCCCCACCTGCCCACGTACCATATCATCGGTGAGGGGGATGTTCAGTGAATTAGGACGCCTCTTCATGCTACAGCGAGAGAGAGCAAGAAAAAAGAAGAGAGGAAAGAGTCAGTGAAACATGGCAGGCTTGAACGCATGAAAAGCAACAACCATTTTAAAAAAAAAGTGCCATAGTAAATAGCATTCGGAATAACAGAGTTGGAAGGGACCTGGGAGGTCTTCTAGTCTGACCCCCGGCTCAAGCAGGAGGCTATGCTCAATAGAAGAGAATATTTGTAGCTTCAGCTGGAACTGCGGGGTCCTTGGTCTCTCTGGTTGTTGTTTTCTTGCGGATGTTTCATTGCCCAATTAGGTAACATGAAACCAGTGGTGGGATTCAACATCGTTTACTATAGGTTCTGTGGGCGTGGCAGGGGAAAGATACTGTAAAATCTCCATTCCCTCCCCACCCCACTAACCTGCTTTCCAGCTCCGTTCTCCTGTATAGAGCAACCAAAGAAGACCCAGCCGATCAGCTGGGACTTGGGAGGCAGGGAAGAGATGGGGTTGGTGGGGCCAGTTAGAGGCGGGATTTGCCAGTTCTCCAAACTACTCAAAATTTCCGCTACTGGTTCTTCAGAACTGGTTAGAACCTGCTGAAATACCATCTCTGAACATGATCAGTGGTAAACCAACCCCCTTCTAGTGCTGATGATGTTACCTAGTTGGGTAATGAAATGTCTGCAAGAAAACAACCATGCTCAGAGAGCATCAAGGACCCCAGAATTAGAATTCAAGTGTTCTTTAGGATCCATTGAATATAAACCTGTCTCTTATATGAATCTGGGCTGAGAGGAATCATCCATGTTATTCCAACTCGTAACGACAGAATCTAAAGAGATGGCATACTGACGACGCTTCCACACAATACGTTTCTCTCAAGCTCAGCACTGAAAGTCAAATGAAGTCCACTTCTCTTCCAGATACCAAGCTTGAGAAACGCCGCCTTAGAGGCATCAAGTAAACGATTTAACTGTCTCACCCTGACAGCCATTTTCCATTTAAAGGAGGCCATCCAAGTTAGTTGGGGAAATTATCTAGGTGTTGAAATCTTCAACACCGGCGCTTGGGGGAACCAACGCACTTCACGATGTTCTTCCCTATCCACACATTCCTGGTCACTAAGTTCAGAATATTCCTTATTCCAAGCTTATTTATTAATCAATTTTGTATAGCCACCCATCTCTCCAAAAGCAACTCTGAACGACATACAGCAAGTTGGTCTACTTTTTCTTTTTAATCAAATAAAGTCAAGTTTCCAAATTGAGTGCAATTCCTCCTGAGGTATGTGTCCATACGGTTTATTTGTTTTTGTTTTTTTGACAACACACGAGTCATTTGCCATTGGATTTTTCCATTTAACTTTTCACAATTAGTGACACTTGGCTAAGCATTTACATTTGCTGTTAGATGTCAGGTAATTCTGGTTTCTACCACATTCTAGTAAATTTATAATAATAATAGAATTATCTCCCATCAAAGTATTAACTAAGTTTAATCATGTTTAGCTTCCTCAAGGTGTTTTGAGGGCTGCCTTCTATTAAAACCTGTCTGATGGACAAGATGAAAACAAAACTGGTGGAGGTTGGGTTTAGATTCCATCAAAACTAGATGAAAATACTTTTACCCCATCAACCATTTTTTTCCTCCGCCACTCTCTCTTCACCAGGAAAGTGGAAGGGCACAGATTGGCCTTGCCAGTAATGGGCTTCTTGCAAAAAAAACCAAAACCTAAAGTTGCTTGTCTTGATCCTAATGGCATGTGGGTTTTGCCAGAATTTTAAACAAGGTCCCTTTTTTGGATTGTCTTGGAAATACAAGGAGTTAGACATACAAAGTATGTTCTCTGCCACTGAATTATAGATCTTTTAAGATCAAAAGAATTTATGAAAAGTAGCCCCAAATCTTATTAATTAAATAATGACAAGAAGCTCAGAACATTATATTCTTTCACTGTTCAATCTCGGGTACAGATTGGCTGTGGCAGATTGGCTAAAAGCACTGGATAACAATTTGGGGAGCTATCAAGTAAGAGTCCAGAGCCTTGCTTAGCCTTGGAATTATCTTGAGTTCAGTCACTCAGATAACATCCTATCTCAGCTAGTTGAGTTGCTACGAAAACAAAAGAGGACTGAGAAGATCATGGCCATGACTCAGACACTTTGAAACAGAAATAAGATAAAAACACAATCAAAAGAACAAGGGAATGCTATAAGACACTTAATGTGTAGCTTGACCCATCTTGACTATTTTAGGACAAGCTGACATATAGGAATGAAAATCAGATACTACAAATCTATCCAAGACTGGGTTACTATCATTTTTTCCCTTGTTTTTCCCAGTGCGGATGTGTTTCATCTCCCAGTTGTTGTCATTTTCAAAGTTGAAGGTAGAAGGCAAAAATATAAATTCTCCAGTTCCTAGTTTAGCAAAATACAATTAATGTGTTCAAATAACATGGAATTTCCCACGAAATCCTATTATGATTCAACATGAGAATGTGGTTCATACACAGCTAAAGTTTGGTGAAATGCTAAATAGCTAACATCAGTTTGTGTAGTCTCTTCTGCTAGCTAAGCCAAAAAAAAAAAA